AGCGAAAATCAGAAAATTTTGAGGTTATTTCATGTGCAAACGCACAGTAATATGAAAATACCGTAACAAAACAAGAAATTACCGTACACAATAAGTCATAGGGTGGCCACACTACTCATATAAACATTGATGAGAACGCAGTCTAGCGGAGAATTGCCGAAATAACGCGAACAATCAGAGGACGGCTCTGAGCCGTCATTTCAGAGCTGGCCCAGCGCTGCGATGACGGCTGGGAGCCGTCATTGTAAGTCAATGGGTTAATGGATTGGCTTCATCGGCGCTCCAGTACTTTGCGACTCTATTGTACTCTATGCAAGAACCGAGCCTCTTAATTTGAGCGGACTTCCTTTTGATTTAAGCTTAAATCTGTTTGAATCAAGAGTCCTTTTTCTTGTCAATGTTTTCAAGAGTCTGGACTCTTGATCCAATGTGTTTTTTTCCAGTGTAGGGGTGGCATAGACCATGATGAAGAGGTGACAGGAAAATTGAAAATTTACATCCATCATGGTTTAGATAAGTCATGAAATATTTCCATCACAAACCGGGTATTCAGTTGTGACGTATCCAACCACGCCTATTTTAAGACCATTTTTCTCGATAATTATGAATTTCTTCAGGAATGGCCGCAATCCAGGCTCCTCCATGGCATCGACGTTGGAGAGCACTGTAGGAGTGTGTAGAAGTTTCAGATACTTTATTGCACCATAAGGTCCACCCACATCAAACTCGTGATTTCCGAGAGTCTGAAAAAATTGAAAATCAGTTCATAGCACGTGAAAATCTCACAAATATTCCTATTTTTGAATTGAAGTTGGCAAATTATTGGTTGAAGAGTAAGATTACATCGATAATTTGCGCAATTTTCTGAAATGGAATCTTTTTTACAGAGGTAAATTGGTCCGCACTTGCTTTTAATTTCGGACACGTACCAAATATGCATGACCATCAAGATTTTCCAAACGTTATTAAAAGCTCTTATTCGTCCCCACATTTTCAAGTTTTGTCCTTGTCATTTGAATAGTGAAAATTCAAAATCTGGAATGTGCCATCAGATGTTGCTCAGATTGTGAATATATCTCTCTCATTTCATGGCTCGGAAGTAACACGGGTTGTTCATAAAAACAAGTTCAAAATTTAGAGAATATTTCCGAATAAAAAGTCCTTGCATTAAGTTAGGAAATTTTTGCTCTAATAAAGCGAGCTGAGAAAGCTATACAGATTTCAAAAGGTTTCAGGACATTCCGTCAACGATTTTTTGTCCGGGCACCTGTTTAATCCAGTAATTTACGTCCACGCTTAAAATAAGAAACTGTGACCTGGTCCAAAGGTTATATTCCAGTCCGTATGTAAAATTATATTGCCAATATCGAATTAGAGAATTGAGAGAGAAGAAGGTGTTGTTATGGTAATTCATTTTTTAAATAAAATGTTGCTTTCTTCTTCTTATTCATCTTTCAAATTTTCATTGGTGAATATTTGGTTTTACTTCTATCTATAAAGTTAGGTAGCAAAAATTGTCGATTTAAAATATACCGTATACATATACCTTTTTTAAATGATAATATTACTTCATTTTAAAAACATTATATTTTTAAAACGTGGCAAATATTTGTAAAACCTTTTCCAAGCGATGGCATCGATATTAATCTCAATGAGCCGTACTTGTGTTGAAGGTAACTATACAAAAATGAAAAAGAGAGAAAAAACCAAGGAGGATGCAATCTTTGGTTTTAACCCACTTTTAAATCGATCTTTTACAGTCAAGCACGTCCAATTTTGAGCGTTTGGTTGCGAATAAACCACGCTGCAGCACAGTGAAAGCACAAAATATAAAGGAAAAATTAAAAAGCATTGGAAATCATTAAATTAGACACGGAACCACCTATTTTCAAAACACACGTTACATTTTCCTTTAATACATATTTTTTTTTTTTCATCAATTTAGATGAAAATCATCCGTGCAGAGCGTGCAAACATTTCAAAATCATGAGTTGAAAAACGCTGACTCCGCCAGTTCAAATATTATAGCCTAACACAGAGCGAAATGCGCACTGGCGCCTACAAACCCAATGGGATACTTCACGCGTTGCGCAATGCGTGAAGTATCCCTGTTAGGTTTGTAGGCGCCTATCGCGTGTCACGCTGGTCGTCCGCCGCGCCGCGGAGTGCTACGGCGATTCAAGTAACTATTTCGCGACATAGGTGCTGCACAGTATCATACGAGATTGAAGGCGCTCCAACGTATCAAGAGTAACAAGCTTCCTTTAAGCTCAATAATTGATAAGTGGACCAAAACTCCCCTGCCGAAAAAACGCGTGGACTTAAACTACCTACTGGAAAAAACAAGTGCTCGGACAAAAAATCGTTGACGAAATGTCGTATAACCATCTCAGAAACATCTGGTAGTATTTACTGGGTTTTGCGTTTTCACTCGTTTTTATTATTTCTTTTTTATGTTCAATGCATCTTTATTTACAAAATTCTACAGGCAAAAACAGGCAATACAAACAGAAAAGAAGAAATGAAGACATTTGAACTTAGTAATTTAACTGACAAAAAGTTGAAGCGTTGCCACTCTTCATGATACCTTGAGATCTCTGGGATGGTTTTCACATAAAATTCTCGGTTAACAGATGGTTTAGTTTTCTCTGGAAAGGCCTGGTAACTTTAAATTTTCAAGTTATATTCCAGACTACAATTTCAGCGAAAAGCGGCCCTTTGAAAGCCCAAAGCTCTGTCAGGGGATAACGACGCGTCAGGACGCATAACGCCCTTCGAGGGACGGCGGGGACCCCTAATGCCTCACTTCTGCCAGTAGGCCTAGGAAAAAAAGGTCTACTCAAAAAATGTCTACATTTTTTGGTCTAAAGTCAAAATGTTTACAATTACTTAAGAAGTCTACTTTTAGAATGCCCAAGAAAGTAAATGTCTACATATAACGCGTCTATTAAAGAAAAATGAATACACGATGATTCTTCTCCATAGATACGACTAAGGAAGTAGCTGATGTGAGTTCACTCTACCTATTCCATTCAGAAGTGAACTTCCTAAGTATGGACTTTTTATTAGAAGACATTATCATTTGTAGACATTATCGCAGTGGACTTTTTAGTTCTAGACATTGTAAACTTAGACCAAAAAATGTACACTTTCTGCTTGTGGACATATTTGCTGTAGACCCTCTGTCTGCGTACCCTTCTGCCTATTCATTAACCCATTCCCTTAACAATTAATTTTGCATGCCCGCGCACAGAGCTACTATTTAATTTTGCTGTAAAAAGCTGTATTTGGTTTCTTCTTAGTTTTCTGCTTTTCCTGATAATTAGGAGCGAGTTTTTGGCCTAATTCTTATTAGTTATAACTAGAAGGATGTTTATATGAATAAATTTGCCTGGATGTTGCACTTTTTCTGCAGTAAGTCAGCTTATGTTAGGGGAATTTCCTGAGAAAAAAAAAAATGTTAAATTTAGGAGAAAAATCTTATTTATTGTAAGAAAAAGTACATGCAATGAGCCACAAAACCTCTAAAACTCTTAAAACATATGCTCAAATAAGATCTAAGCACCAATTAGCACCAAAATAAGAAAAAAGAGCGAAAATAAGCTTACATCTCGTTGTTATGATTCATTGATAACAAGAAAATAAACAGAGAGCAAATTTCGAGGTTATTTCAGTTTTCCACATTTTCAAACTAACAAAATTCCCTATATTCGGGGAAATTACCGTACAAAACCAATACAGGTTGGTCACACTACTTCTAGTTACAACATCTGTCGATTTACGTGGCGCTATCTATCGTGAAAACATCAAAACACGGCAATACGCGTAGCCAAGTTGCATGACGAGTGGGACTCGTTATTTCACGTTTGTCCCGGCGCGGCCATGACGAGTCAAGCTCGTCATATTAAGGGAATGGGTTAATATTTCATATAATTAAATCGGTTATGTATGCTATCGACATACTTTTTAGGATACAGAACTCTCGGAGGTCACGCTACTCACTTGGACGTCAACCGGTAAGAGATTCATGAATTCGGCAGTGAGATTCCATTTGAAGAGATTGAACCACAACGTCCCCGTGAAGACATCACCGGCGTTCACAACCAGTGCATTTGGTTCGTTCCTTTTCAGTTCGAGCATCTTCGAATACAGGCGAGAATACCCACCTGTCAGAATACAATTTTGGGCCCTTTGTTATTGATCCGGGTTATTGGAGGCGAACTTGACAGAATGAGGGACACAATGTACATACTAACTGTCGTGATAAGGAAAACGCCGTATGAGCCTTTAAACTTTGACATAATATGTTAATCAGTGGCGAGGTTTGAATGATCGATTATCGATAATCTCCCATCTAAAGTTATGGTAAAGAATCGATTATTTAGGTGTTCGCTGCGAACGCCCTGACTATCGATCCTTTTCCATAGGTTTAAATGGCAGTTCAATCGATACGTCGCAAAGCACGCCGCACGCCACTGATATTGATCTCCTTCAATGATACCCGAATTTACTGGGGAAATTTTGAATTTTTTCTCGAAAATTTTCAGGTAATTTTCTTCGCATTTTGATCTAAAATATCCGACAATTTCAAGGGAAAATATGAATAAATCTCCTGAAAAATACAAATCTTTTCCGAGGAAATTTGGTAGCCCTCAAATGTTCATACGGCGTTTCCTCAGCATGGCAGTATAAGGGAAAGAACTGACGTGTGTTCCTCGCTGGGACTGTGCGGAGGTGGCAAACCTATTGCGCGCAACTATTCACACTCCTAAGCCGCCCATGTTGCAGTCACATTTATTGAAGGCGAACTTTGTAGAATGAGAGTTATGTAATAAGGGGAAGAATTAACGTGTGTTCTTTATACCGGGGCTGAGTAAAATATGTAACATGAATATATTTCTTCTCGGAGCAACGCTTAGAACTAAGTAAAAAATATGAGCAAAATTATGAACAAAACCTTCTTTATAATATATCTCATGCTGATTAAACATACATACTTTGACTTGGTCCTGGTGATGGGGCATTATTCGAGACTGCATTGACCCTTTTATAATGAGAGTTATGCATATCAGGTGAATTCACTCTCTTTATGGGTCAGTTGTGCAAGACGAAGAATCGTGTTTTGGTGGTTCAAGGTAATTGATTAGCAAAATTAAATAAGAGCTGCTCAAACGCAAAGTCTACGTCAAAACGACGTATGACGCCATACCGTGCATACCGTGATTTCTTCCCCCTTGATCTCATCCAAGTTTTATGTCAAGCAACCAGTGCAAATTTTCGTGTCCATGATTGGTACAACCTAGGTGAAAGAAACCACGGTACCTACGTACTATCACAGTGGAGGACGTCACACAACATCCTTTTTGATGAGGGATATCGCCATAGTAATATCGGACATAAAAACTTGGTGTTTGGACAAGTCACATTATTAAGCGCTCAGCCGATAGGCAGCGCTTTTTGATTTCGACTTGCCTCTGAGAACTAGTATACTAGTGCTAATGCGTTTAAATGGCGCACCAGCTCATCGATGTGTAGGCTTTTGGGGGGGGGGGTCCATTTTTAAAATAAATAAAGCTGTGAAAACTGTATTTTATGCTTTTAACGTAATGCGCAGGTAGTTTCGATCGTTTCTCTGTAAGAAAATTTCTTAGCGGTAGAGTAATTCTTCTCGAAATTGATCGTTGAACTCAAATGAAGCCTAAAAAAAATGCGCCTGATGAGCTCAACGGTGAGCTCATTTTCGGGAAACAAAAATACGCGTTTACGGTTTCCTTGGTAACCTTTGTTTGCTATCAGCTGATGTTTTATTTCCATTTCCCAGCCAAGTCGACGGAGTTTATACGTCCTTTCTTCACTAAATACATTTACTAACACCTGAGCGCTTTTCTAATACGACAGTATTAGAACTTTCCCGCTTGTTTTTTGCTAATCCATAAGCTTAACCCATCATATAAGACGATTCTATGACTAGCGCAACTTACGCATTTGCATTTATTTGCCGTTAAACCAACCTCAGTGCAAGGCTGGCCTAGGGCTTCTAATCCATCACGAGTATCCGAATTCGGTACATCAACTTCAGTTTAATTTCGGTGAGAAATTATCGAAAGAATACAGGCGTTTGATGCTGGCGTATCATTGTGCACTACTTGAGAAGCTCTTCCAAAACAAATTGAACATACAGTGGGGAACAAGAGTGTCTCCTCATATTCTGAGATTACTTATTCTTGACAATGGTTCGAGTGAGTTAAAGCCTAGCATCCTTGAGTAGAAGAGTGGAAAGACGCGATCTTACATGATTTTTGACAGAGTTGTGCGTCAGTATTCTGAAGTTTACGGTAAGAATAGAATGATGTAACTGCAGTTTAAATTTCGCATTTTTTTCTATGTGTTGGGTACGTTTGCTTAAATAAATTTCTCTGACAAACATTTTGCTTGAAATAAAAACCTGCCAAAATTTCGAAACCAAATCGAAATAATAAAGTTTTAAGTGCACCACACAAGCGCCATGCGATGTTTGAACATTTCCGCCGTAATTTTTTATTTATTTACAGAGAAATTGTTCAACGAAGCTGTCCGAAAATTTCACTGAATTTTCTTCGTGCTGCGGATGTGTGCTGGGTCAGTGAAATTTTCAAACAGATTCGATCAACAATTTCTCGGTAAAGTTATAAAATGGCGGCGGAAATTTTGAAACGTCGCATGGCGCTCGTGCTACATTGGCCGGAAGGCGACGAATTTTACTCTAAGATGATCCCTCGATCCCACGATTTTGATCCTTGAAATTGCTAGACTGATTTGGAAAATTTCCCTTCAATTCATGTTAATCATGCTTCGTCATATGTTGTTGTGAGGTTCACAACCTTTTAGAAAGAAAAATGTCCCAAAATTTTGGTTGGGTTGCCACTCTTTTCCTCTTTCATGTGTAACGGTCGATGAGAGGAGGGACATTTCATTTTTTCAAGGTTTTATGAGGCGTTATATTTAGAGGACGAAGGGACTTTAGTAGCGGATGACTTAAAATCGATTCAGCTATACTATCAACAGGAGTGTTTTAAAACCCTTTTGGCTTAAATGTCAAAAAATGACGCACCAGACCGGAGACATTTCAAATTTATTCGAAAAGCGTATATTTGTTGTACCTACCTGTCATGTTTCGGGGCGTGAAAATAACAGGATCAGCCTTCTCTTAATGTCATAAAAATTAACTAAACCACTCAAAGATTTTCTTTGAGATAGGTATTTGCATATCTTCAATCAAGAACTACAATTACGGAGTTTTGACGCAACTTGACCAGAACAGATTTTCTAGAAATATTTGCCTCCGTGCACTCAGGTCGTCCCTTTTTCTAAAGGCGAGCGATTTTCTTCATCAAGTTTCAAGCCCTATAAATTCCTCTCTGCCTAGTTAATAGGGGGCTAGCTAGGGGAATCGGTATCAGCAAACAACAACAACAAAATATTAAATAGGTTACAATGATACTTCGGGATTGCAAAAAAAAATTACTCCGAATTTAATCGATTCCCTATTTTTACTATTTTTGTATTTTAATAATGTTTCAATTCTAAAATTTAATTTTAGTTACTATAGAAAACTCACCCACGCAGGTATCGCCCTCATGACAGACACCAGAAGTTTTGGCATTTACTGGTTCATAGCGAGCGTGAAAGTCATTGAAATGGATGATGGTTAGTTCGGGGTCACCAGTAGCGCCTTCAGCAGAGGCCAGAAACCACCCGCAGAACACCAATCTCGCAACAGCGAAAAACATCACGCCGAGAATATTATCACTTCCGAAGAGAAAAATTACGTATGAACCGTAATTAAAAACCACGAGAGGAACTCACGCACACGCGGTGGAGGCGTTTAAGTTAAAATTAGGAAGAGCATCGAAAATTCTCACGTTTCTATAATTAAAAATAGAAAAATTACGGTAACTTTAATTAATTAATTTAAGGAATAATATCGGAGGCTGTGAACATTTAGAGTGCGGCTCCCGAAACTTATCGTCGCACTGAAATTTTATTTTCGGAGTGAAAAAAAAATATGCGAGCGTCTTTTCATGATAACGATTTAATCTGTATCGCTCCATTGAGGTGTTATTCGAAATTTTGAGTGGCACTTTTCTGTCAATTTATATTTAGCCGATATTGGATTGTCGGAGGTACTTGAATTCTTCGCAGATGTAAGTAATTTTGTGTAGCTCAATCTGATTCAAGCTTTCCAAATACTTATTCCAAAATGGTATTATTTGGGCATAAAAATTAAATTTCGAGAAGACACCTGCGGGGCTTGGAGGACGAGGCGCATAAATGCAGTTTATGCTATTTCAAGAACTCGTGTCTAAAGTTTCATAGTTACATGGAGCCTTATTAGGGAAAGGAAGTTTAAACTTACTTTTTTATGCTTTAAAGTTGGATTTTAGATTTACATTTTTCACAGTATATTCTTTAAAACTAGTTTTAGTTGAATTCATGAATATCTCAATTTTTTCAAAAACTGCACTTATGCACCTTGTCTTCCAAGCCCCTCATTTGAAGTGTCTCTACGTTGCACTAGGATTTACTTTTATTGCCGGCACTAGCACCCCATGAACTTTTCAACCGTGTGGGTTCTGCTCGATTGATCCGTTGGACAGATATAGACGGGGGTCTAAATAAAGACGCAAGTCTCCTATTTTTTATCAATAAGAAGAGGTAAACACAGCTATGAGGGAGGAGGATTTGCAGCTTGCAAGGAACCTAATAAGTGATATTCATTTAACATCAAATAAGGGGCTTCGAGGACAAAGCGCATAAGTGCAGTTATTGCTACTTCAAGAAATACGTGTTTAAAGTTTTAAAATTACACGGAGCCTTATGGCGGAAAGGAAGTTTGAACTCGCTTTTTGATGCTTTAAAGTTGGATTTTAGTTGTGAATTTTTCACAGAGTATACTTTCAAACTAGTTTTAGTTGATTTTATGAATATCTCAAATTAATAAAAAACTGCACTCATACGCCTTGTCCTCCGCGAGCCCTTCAAATATGATGAAGATTTTTTTCAAAAATTGAAAATCACCTTTCCCCTCTCAAAAGCGCGATTTAGGCATTTCTTACGCGGACAGGGGGAAGAGGGTACAAAACTTCAAATAATAAAATCAAGTAAGTAAATTCTAAGGGTGAGCGGTGCCCTTTCTTTCCTCTTTTCACTAACCCCCCNTCCCCGAACAATGATAACTTGTCGAGGCAAAATTGATTTTCCAAAAAACTGGTATACGTGATGGAGAGACTGACGTTATTTTTTAAATTTTCATCCACAAGAAAAAGAAAAAGAAAAAAAGGCAGCCATTTAAGGTGCAGAGTTTGGGGAGTTAGGTATTTACAAACGATTTTGTCGCTATAGCTTTTGATGGCAAAATTGACTCGATGAATTGCTTCCGGAGGTCCAAACGATTTCTTCGAAAATTAAAGTTTAGAAATAATGGTGCCAAGTTTTACTCCTTTTTCCTCCCAATTTTTTTTTCTTTTTTTTTTGCAAAATTTGTGCCGCCAAAAATTTTGAATTGTCCATCGAGTTACCCCTACCACAGAGTGCCAATCTGTCGACCACGGTATCGTAATCACGAAACAATCAATTTTAGTATTTCCGCGTTTTTCATAGTTTTTCCAGTATCAGTCTGATTCTCATTACGTTTGTTTTTTCAAATATAACTCATTAATATCAGTATGAACATTGTTTATCGGAAAAATCAATGCCCTTAGAATTGACGATAATAAATTTTGACTTAGGTGCGTGGCATTACTGTAAGTTCCACTCTCTTCTCTGATTGGTCCAGAAATTTAAAGATTTTCCTCACAGATTAGTCCAGATCGCTAACATCGGCGGAGGAGCGTGAGTAGTTTTGTGAGCGCCATTGGCGGGAAAATCCATGGGCATTTAAAACTAGGAACCAAAACTGAAATTTTGGCTATTTTCAGCAGATTTTCGGCGGGAGAATACTTCTTTTTCAGATTTTTGTGGGATGAAACGTTCCGAAGAATTCAAGAATTAGTTTCTCAGTAGAATTTATGTGGTTCAATATTTCCAGATTAAATAATTAAGGTGGAAATAAATAAAGAAGGAGAATTAATTAAAATACGAGTAAACAAGGCTAAAAATTATTGAAACACTAAAAGGTAAGACGTTTCGAGCTGCTTCCAGCTCATTTTCAGCTGCAAAAACNAGAAAATTAACATTCACTGTGAGCGGTCTGACACTCAGAAAGTCAACACAATAAACTTTCAGAATCCGTAGGAAAAAAGTGTTTTCAATAATATGATCAGAGAAATCTTTTGATTAATCAAATTATCAAAAGTGCGAAACAATAACAATGATCTTCAATTGATCGTCAACGTGAGATGCATGACCATGCCTTCGACGTTCGACTGGAAACTGGACTGGACTGGAGCAACCCGAGTGGAAATTGAAATTTCAAAAATCAAAATCTTCGGTGTTTTTGGAGGAAAGTGAAACATATTACATACCAATAGAAACGCCAGAATACCGAGAATTGTGTCGTGAACATGTTTTTGCCATAAAATTGACTGAATTCGAATGAAACTCATAGTTTCGATTTCCCATGTTATTTCCCATAAGAAATGAAAATTTGGTCGTCGGGTGTCTGATTGGCTGAAAAGTAAGTGGGCGGGGCGTCGGGCGACCACGCACGTTTGTAATGCAATGCGGACTCTTGTTTTCTCTTTGGTTTTTGGCCTGAGATCTGGCTGAAGTAAGGTTAGGTTGTCCACCGGTGGAGCTGTGATCGGAGAAATGACCGATCACTCCGATCACTGATCGGTGGTACCAAATCCACCGGTCGTACTTCCACCGGTCGTGACGTCAGCACCGACGGATCAATTAACGAACACAGTTTGGTGATCGGCGGTACCACCGATCAAAAAAAGAAAACCCCTCATGTAACCATGTATTTTTACAGTGTGTCTCAAAAATTCTTCGTCATTGCTGGATCTCACCGTTGCTAGGTTCACTCACATCTTGATAAAATCTTATTTGATCAAAAACCATTATTACACATTACTATTTATACTTTTTTCAAGCTTTATAATCAGATTCAATAGGAAATTTCTCTCGATCTGGTCAAGTTCTTTCACTACTGGTAGTGCCATCAATTTTCTAAAGTTGCCTAACCTGTAGCAAAAATTACTCACGCTTCTGAAGCATGGCTAGATTGGATGTTAGCGATCTGGACTAATCTGTGATTTTCCTGTTTAGAATGAGGTTATGTTTTGATCTGTTATCAATAAACAAAACACGGCAATTCTGTGAACTTTTAATTTTGCCCCCAAGAATTCAGTGTTTTTTAGCAGTTTGCACTGAGGACAACCTTGTTTACATCCATTAACGTTTATCTCTCTAAGTTTTGGAAATATTTAGCCATCCAGTTGTTGTGCCATTGTTTCTGAAGTCAAAGTCGGAAGGTGTTCGTGATATGATTCAAGGATTTACAACATTAATTTGTTACTATTGTACTATAACTAGTATATTGTCATGGCAATCCTCAAGTTTTGTTCCACCATTTTAAAACCACAATTCACCCAAGTGTCACTTCTGTGCGTTGCACAATTGAGCAATCCTTTGGGGATTAGTTATGTCCGTCGCTTTGCTTGCAAAAGTAGCGGGCCACCATGGCGAATTCTATTTTTTGGCTCTGATGACTTTGCCTTAAAAAGTCTTCAAGCTTTGTGCTCAAAATAGTAAGTTTTTAGACTTAAGTTATTATAAGTGTTGAGTTTATTGTTGTGTTTCAGCAAACACATGAAGTTATAGTTTCAAGTTTTCATTCAATCTCTGATTTACTCCGATATATTTCCAGTGAGCATTGCTATCACACTTGTTTATTATTGAGTGCATTATTTTTTCATTGTAAGGATCAATCTCTCAGAGTTCTAAGTAGTTGCATCCGTATCGACGTAGTAACTAACCACAATTTTACTTGCGGTGTTCAAAAATATTTGCTGTCATTTTACTTTTTTTGAAGGAGAACAAATCAATAGGTATCATTTCTTGAAGATTTCACAGAGTTTTTTTCGCAAAGAGAAAAGGAATAACAGAGGTTCTCAAAATTGTTGCTGAGTAGTTTTCCATTCAAAAAATAAAGTGTGACAGGAAGTCTGCGACGTCGGAAACCGAGATACGTGGTCTGGGAGTTTCACCGTCAATACGCACTCTCTAATGAAATGCAGATCTAGAAGTAAAAGGTCACCCATGTGAGGGCAACAATGGTTGTCTTTTATGTTGCCTCTGTCCTTTTGATAGAATTTACGTGCATAGTTATTCGCAAATGTAACTGTCCCCAGGTTAGGTAAATACTATCAGTGTGTACTAGGAAGGCAAAAAATATGGAAGTGAATTCTTCTCTTCTAAATAGCTCTCTTCCTTGTTGTAAAGTAGACTGCAAGATCTGCTTCAAACTGGGGCTTTTATGATGAATGCACACTTTTTAGATCAAAATTCAACCCAAATTGAACGAATATTGATAAGAATGAAGAGTCCAGTGTGTTTTGAATAACCAAACTTTGAATTGTATTTAGAGATATTCATCGAAAGTGATCTTCTAAAAGCAGCGGTTTCGTGGTTATCATGGATGCATTTCAACAGAAATTGAATGTTTGACATGACCATAACGTAATTGACACTCAGAATTCACCAATTCATCATAAGTTTTTAGTACTAATTCTTTCTAATTTCAATCTCCATTCAATCATTTTGAAATGTTATTAATGCTTTTTGCAGTACATTCAAATCCAGATAAACTGACTACTTAAAATTTCTTTTTTTTTCCAGTCGAACTGAAACATTGATCAGCAGACTGGGCGTTGTAACGGGCAACGAGAACAACATGGTTGGAAAATTTATACAAGATGAGAAATTGGATTTTTCACTTTGGCCAATTGAAGAGAGTGCGGTGAAGGGAAATTATGATTTGGGAATTGTGGTTTCATTCGGTCACCTCATACCTGAAGAAATAATCAACTCTTTTCCTTTGTAAGGAATATTTATTTTAGCTAACTTATTCCTCACAATTTTTTTTTATTATGAGTTTGGAAACATTGCCTAAGTTTCAGTGATTTTGAAGAGATTTTTGCTCCCTTGTAATTTTTCATTGGTTGGTTTAAATTTGTTTATTTCACCATTTGATAAGACCATTTAATGCAAATTAAAGCCTCTAAGAGCAAATAATACTGACTGAAGTGTGGCAAATTTGACTCAGTTACAATGGAGTTACACAAGTTGAATGAGGCATAGAACATCCTGAATGTGTTAGCAGCCTATGAGCTGCATTTTCAAGTTTATTGCTTGTCGGGAAGATGATATTATAACTGTTTAATTTTTATTCTTAATTTTAGATAAAGGAAAAGAAGAAGAAAACGTTTGAAGCAGGAAATTAGGGTCATTGTTATTGAGTCTTTTTTTCTCAAGAGACAACTAGCAATCAAGTAAAAAGTATTTTAAGTAAAAAAAGTAGAGAGCTTAACATTGCCCACAAAAAAAAAAAAAAAAAAAAAAAAAAAAAAAAAAAAAAATTGTCGTCCTTCTGTAAGACTTTCAGTAACTATTTAAACAGAACAATTTTATATTTTCTTGAGTATTCTTAAATTCTGTTGCAGAGGAATGATAAACGCTCATGCAAGTTTGCTGCCTAGATGGAGAGGCTCATCGCCAATCACTTATGCCTTAATGAATGGTGATTCAGAAACAGGCGTCACTATAATGAAAGTTAGTCCAAAGAAGTGAGTACCTGTTTAATGTGTTTTGGCTCGAATATAACAGTTTTTTGCTCTAAATATAAACAAACCCCTCTGATGCACCCAACGGCGCTCACTGGAGCTAAGGTGACTGAGGTCAGGGCCCTGATCTTCTGAGGTTTGACCACTCTCTTGGGATAAAGGGTCCTCATTGTTAATCTGAATTATATTTTCTCATGATGTGGCTTTATTGTGTAGCTACAACAGAATCAGATATACAAACAAACTTAACAGTAAAAAACTGAATTTAAATCAGCATTCTGCCTCATAGTAATTACTTTCTCTGGAATATGGCTCCAAGGAATATTGTCGTTAGTATCAAGTTTCTTTTCCTGTTGTAAAGTGGAAACAGAAACTAAGTATCTGCTTAAACTGTGAAAGATAAAGGAGTGGTATAGTTAAGCATGTTTAAACAGGATAGATTTCATTCTTTTCCAGCTATTAACTTTCCTTAAAATATAGCTTTTAGTTCGGTTCAATCTCATTTTCACTTCCCTGAAAAATGTTTGAATATATTATAATAGGACTTTTTAAAATACTGTTGCAAATAGTAGATACCCGTTTTTTTGCCAGGAAGAAGAAAAAACAGCATACTCTAAAATAAAATAAACAGAAAAACGATTCAACTATCACAAATAAAGATTTATCAAATTATTTTTGTCAAAAAAGTTTTTGAATTTGAATGGTAAAGTGACTCACACATTTAAACATGAATACATACAAAAATTTCTTGAAATATTTGAAGGAAAAGCTCATTCCAAAATTTTACAACACAAAATAATGATTTTCCATCAGCCTTAATTTATCGATCATATCTTACACGTAATTTGAGATGCATTATCTTTTTTGCACTGTAGCATGTTGTATGAAGAAATGGAAAAGATGTGAAAATTGCTTTTTGCGCAAAATCCTGGCAACTCGTAAGTATATATAAGAAAATGAACAAATAAAATTTATGAAAGTTGTTTCTTACAAAGAAGTGTTTTCTAAATGGGAAGGACAACTCGAAAAATGAGACAGCTGGGAAACCTGTTCACCCCTGCTTATGTTCAGCAAAAATGAAAAAAAACAAACAACATTGAAGTCAACCATAATTCACAACTAAATGCTCTCATTCTTCTCACAGACAAGCTGTATATACTCTCCTTGATTTCGCCTTCTTGAGACTTGCCTTTTTAATACTCAATTCTTTCTCCATCTGACTGCATAGGTTTGATAGAGGCGATATAGTTCGACAGTACCGTTGTTCAATTGCTGCCGATGAAACCAACCCAAAACTTCGAGAGCGTCTAGCCCAACATAGTGCTGACCTTCTGATAGAGTGTGTACGGGACTTGCCAAAATGTTTAGATCATTGTCACCCGCAACCCAAGGATGGTGTTACCTATGGTAAATAATTTAATTTCATTCAGCATGTCACATGTCATATGTCACAGCTCTAACATCCTGTTCAGAATTAGACCCTAAAATGGTTACGCTGCCCTTTTTAGTCTCGAAAAGCATCCCTTGCGATCACTTACTTTCCGACGAAATCATGTGGCTCATAAATTTTTTTTGTTACCAGTGTAAAATTGTATTAACATTTATCAACAAGTTGATTTTGGGATCATCTTTGGAAACAACCTATTCTAGGACTTAAATGCTTATTTTAAGGGGATATCTCACCTCTAATATGTAGGTAAAATTCTGATGAACCAGTAATTTTTTAATATTGGAGACCCGCCAGTGCTCTTATATTCTCTGTTATCTCAAATATTATCTGTTTGTGTCTGCAGGCGGTATATATTATACCATTTATCTCAGATAATTTCCGATAAAGTAATTTTTTTAAATATTGAACCAAGCGGCCTCCTAATATTTCAATGTATTCACTTGTATTTAAAGGCCCATATGTTTTAATTATTTTTAACATCTTCTTTCACAGCTCCAAAATTTGATAAAAGTATATCAAGGATTGATTGGTCATCCATGACATCCCGTGATATTCTCAACCTGCACCGAGCTTTGGGACACATGTATCCCCTTACTACGCATTGGAAGGACTACCCTGTCAAGTTCCTCAGTTTCTCAATCGACCCAAGTGACCCTACTGGCGAAAGAATTGTGTCTTGTGATTCTGAGTCAATCAAAACAGCATCAGCTCTTTCATTTTTAAGTGTAAGTAAGAAAAAAGATCATAGCGTTGGAGTTGGAAAGTCAGCTGTATCCTTCTTAAACTCAGATGAATCGAGAAAACGGGAAGTGGCAGCAAACAATTCAGTTAAACCTGGTCTAGTCAGTTACAATAAAAAACGGAAAGTCTTTTTTGTGGAGTGCTGTGATGGCAGAAAAATTNAACAAAAAACATTGAAGTCAACCATAATTCACAACTAAATGCTCTCATGCTTCTCACAGACAAGCTGTATATACTCTCCTTGATTTTGCCCTCTTGAGACTTGCCTTTTTAATACTCAATTCTTTCTCCATCTGACTGCATAGGTTTGATAGAGGTGATATAGTTCGACAGTACCGTTGTTCAATTGCTGCCAATGAAACCAACCCAAAACTTCGAGAGCGTCTAGCCCAACATAGTGCTGACCTTCTGATAGAGTGTGTACGGGACTTGCCAAAATGTTTAGATCATTGTCACCCGCAACCCAAGGATGGTGTTACCTATGGTAAATAATTTAATTTCATTCAGCATGTCACATGTCATATGTCACAGCTCTAACATCCTGTTCAGAATTAGACCCTAAAATGGTTACGCTGCCCTTTTTAGTCTCGAAAAGCATCCCTTGCGATCACTTACTTTCCGACGAAATCATGTGGCTCATAAATTTTTTTTGTTACCAGTGTAAAATTGTATTAACATTTATCAACAAGTTGATTTTGGGATCATCTTTGGAAACAACCTATTCTAGGACTTAAATGCTTATTTTAAGGGGATATCTCACCTCTAATATGTAGGTAAAATTCTGATGAACCAGTAATTTTTTAATATTGGAGACCCGCCAGTGCTCTTATATTCTCTGTTATCTCAAATATTATCTGTTTGTGTCTGCAGGCGGTATATATTATACCATTTATCTCAGATAATTTCCGATAAAGTAATTTTTTTAAATATTGAACCAAGCGGCCTCCTAATATTTCAATGTATTCACTTGTATTTAAAGGCCCATATGTTTTAATTATTTTTAACATCTTCTTTCACAGCTCCAAAATTTGATAAAAGTATATCAAGGATTGATTGGTCATCCATGACATCCCGTGATATTCTCAACCTGCACCGAGCTTTGGGACACATGTATCCCCTTACTACGCATTGGAAGGACTACCCTGTCAAGTTCCTCAGTTTCTCAATCGACCCAAGTGACCCTACTGGCGAAAGAATTGTGTCTTGTGATTCTGAGTCAATCAAAACAGCATCAGCTCTTTCATTTTTAAGTGTAAGTAAGAAAAAAGATCATAGCGTTGGAGTTGGAAAGTCAGCTGTATCCTTCTTAAACTCAGATGAATCGAGAAAACGGGAAGTGGCAGCAAACAATTCAGTTAAACCTGGTCTAGTCAGTTACAATAAAAAACGGAAAGTCTTTTTTGTGGAGTGCTGTGATGGCAGAAAAATTGTCGTAGATGCTTTAAAAGTTCCAGGTAAGAAACAGTTATCTGCAGCTGATTTTTATAATGGGTTTCTGTCCAAGGAGTCTGATGAATCAAAGTGGTATTTTAGTGATTAAAGGCATCTCAATGTTGCCATAAATTTTAGATAAAAGAACTTGGCTGTGACTGTATCTTTTTTTGTTCAAGTTATTTGCAATGAGTTTTTATTTGTTGAATGAAAACTAAGGAATGGTAAATTTATCAAAATAAAATCATGATTTTGTCCATCTCTCATTAGCATGTCACAGGTCAAACTTCTCTTCTCAAATTTAAGTCTGAAAACTCAGTGCAATATTGTTTCCTTCTCCTGGATAGTGGAGAACCTTTTCTGTGGAAAACTTAAATGCCTTTTTTATTGTTTCAACCGAACTCGATAAAAATTGTTTCTCCAAAAATTCAATTTTGAGAATGAAGGGCCCTATTTTAACAGATGGTCACATTTTTTTTTTTTGCAAAATTGCTTAAACCAACAGAAGGGTTGCCCAGTCTCTCTTTAATTTTGCTTACAAAAGAGCTTTTCATGGGTAATGAGAGCTACTTCCCTTTCTTGTCGAGACATGTCTTCATCGTTCCAGCCCCAGATGACCTTGTCCTCGCTCAGGGGATGCGTCCCATCGCCTGTTTTTTTTACCCGCTCGGCCACCATCTTGTGTGATACAGTCTTGAGATCGTATGCCCAACCAATCTTGGCACAGATATCTACCAGCAATGCTGATAGGTTGAGCTTGTAATCCCACAGCTCAGAGTTTTTATAGTCCCACGGGAAGACATGGTGGTAATTGTGCCAGCCATCGCCCATTGATGCGAATGATACAAACATGTTTTCTGTCGGCAAAATTCTCCTAAGGGTTGAACAGTGATTAAGACTTTTAGTATGACATTATTAAAAGCTTGCTGTCATACCTGAAAAAGAAACTTTCCGATGTCTCGGAATATTTATTTCACTTTATTGTGTCATTAGCTTTTTATCAGACACCGGAAGAAAGGTTTTTTAAAACAAAATGAATGTATTGCTACAGCTAAGCACTGACAAGAATTATAGTTTTGAAAATGGATATTTTTCTCACCTGTCATATGGCCTTATACCCCACTTGTGAGCAATGCTGTTAATCGTAAAAGTCCCATGTAGGAAGATCACTTGACGCAGATGGCCTGCCACAAAATGAGCTGCCCAGAAGTTCTCATTCCAAAAATACCAAGGAACAACGGTAGGGATGATGTAACAAAGCAGTATGTTCAAGTACCAATAGTATCTTTGTGAAAAAATGAGAAAAAATAGATTAAAAATTAAGGAAGTGGGGAACACGGAGTATGTAGTGAAATAAAATATCTACTGCTTTTAGCGTGAGATAAAAATTTGAATTCTGCTTATTGAATTCAGCTCTACTTTTTTCTCCATAGGTAATCCACTTGTGAGCGTTCATAAATTACGAATCACTTTCTTTCGGAATTTTTAACACTGCCTATCACGTAAAAAAAATGGCGTAATGCGTTCCCTCTGTTTTGAGCAATACGTAATTTATGAATGGCCCCTTTCCCTTTGTCACAATTATCGTTTCTTCGCTGGGACTTCAAAAGGTACATTTCTTTGCTTACAGACACCTTCTGTATTACAGGGTGCCTATCAGTGAAAACCGGAAAATTTAAGAAAATTCGATAATATAAGGAAAAATCGGAAAAATGCCAAGATCATCAGTCATGGATCACGAAATTCTATGCGCTTCACGCATTTTTCAAACATGTGATTCAATCCATAACATATGCTGATATTTCAAATCAAACGAGTGCCAATTTCCTCAAGCGAAAAATAATAAAATCTCGTCTCAAACATCACGAAGATATCAGGAATATCCAGAATTAAACTTAAGGAGACACCCTGTTTCTCTACGATCTACAGGATGATTCAAAAGTCCCGCCCCACCAGCATCGGGCCTTTAGTTAACTTTTGAACAAACTGAGACAGGGTTTGAAATTTTGTGAGTGCTCCACGTCATAGGAGACGAATTTGAGGAACCCCAAAAATTTTAAAGGGACCGCCCTGAAAACGGGTAAGAACCTCCAGAGGGGTTCTGGACTTTGGGTGGTGGTCTTTTGGATCACCCTGTGCACTGACCTGGCCTGGAAGGTGACGACCCAGTCGCTCTGGACGTCGTCGACGTAGACGCGTTTGCGGGCGGCGAGGAAGGCGGGGTGGGGGGCGACGAGGACCCAGCCGACGTGGGAGAAGAAGAAGCCGCGGCGGGCGTTGTGCGGGTCGGCGTCGGTGTCGACGAACTTGTGGTGGACCCGGTGGTTGCGGACCCAGTCCAGGATGCTGAACTCGAGGGCCATCGTCTGGAACACCATGAGCAGGAGCCGGAGCTGCCACGTGGCCTTGAAGGAGTGGTGCGACCACAGCCGGTGCGCCCCCGCCGTCACCGCCGTCGAGGAGGCCACCCCCAACATCACGGCTGCCAACACACCGCAGACACTATTTCAACATCACACTCAGTACATCTTTGGAACTAAGATACGCGGAAAGAAATGGATTGCTGATTTAACAATGGACCACTAGACAAGGTACGAATTTAAGCGATCTTAAACAGAATTTCACGTAGAAAACGATTCACACAACGAAAATTACGGAAACCAACTCCTAACGAAGATATTAACGTTTTTATTTCACATTGGTTACGAGGAATTTGAACTGCCCGCTCACAAGAAACTCAAAACTCTACGTGAGTCAAATCGCGCACTACAACGGTTTCAGCAAGCTTCTCAATCGAGCAATGTTCATTTCCCATCATGTCTTGTTCAAACTATTAGCAATTTGCTATAACTGGGCCAAAGCGTCAAGATTGAGGTTGCCAGATTTTTATATCTCAGAGACTGTCATGATAACGTTTAGCGCGCGATGTGAATCACGTAGAGCATTGAGTTTTCATGAGCGGGTGGTTTGAATTCACGCATTAAGAATCATTAAATATCTTCGTAAGGAGTTAATGTCGGTAATTTTCGTTGTGTGCATCGTGTTTTACGTAAAATTTTTGTTAAGAAACATGTATCAGAATGCTGAAATTCGTACCTTATCTAGTGGTCCATTGAGGACACCGCCCATCGCCCATCGGGTATCGGAACTTGGCTGTTTTGAAAACGCCTTCAAATGCGGCGTGATACCTCACGCATTCCGGAGAGTTCAAATAGTTGTATCATTGCGCCTTGGAAGTGCGACGGCAGATGACAATTGAAATAGCCTTCATACACGCTAGTCTTGTCGATTTCCTTTGACATTTTTGCAGTGGTGAATGCATAGCTAAAATGCGCTCCAGCCAGAAGTGTATTCAGCAAATGAGTAGTTTTTATAGGAGGATTGAAAACAAACAAATGGTAGGAAATAAAACATAATAATAAGAACTTTGCAAAACGATAATCCGGGTATCGGAACTTGGCTGCTTTGAAAACGCCTTCAAATGCGGCGTGATACCTCACGCATTCGGGAGAGTTCAAATAGTTGTATCATTGCGCCGTAAGAATGTGACGGAAGATTACAATTGAGGACACCGCACCAAGAACAGCCTATAGGCGTATAGGTCGTTATTACGCCCATCTGCTTCTCGGATTCTACGTACCTTGGACTATGCTGTGGTAGCGATAGAATATAGACAGGTAACGGCTCGAGGTCGAAAAACCTTTTTTTTTCCGAGTTAAGTCTGGCCTCTGGATCGATGCGTGCAAGAACGACCTATAAACGGGCCTATAAGGTGCTAGGTACCCCTTCCTTTACTCACTATCGATATTCTTTCATTTTGCGTTAATCATAAGTGATTAAAATGATTTATACTTCATATTGCCACCAAAATGACTGTTGGGCGTAATAATGGGCCTATAAACAGCTTTTTTAATTTAAATATACGAGAGTATAAACCCAAAATGTATCGCAAAATCTACCCGGCATCCTTCAATAGAAGGGTTAGGTCACCCAAAAACACCAAAACAGGGTACCTGCATAGAAAAGTCTGCGCAGTACATCAAAAACAAAACTTTAAATGCGTTTTTCTCAAAACGCGGTTTCCAGTTATAGGCTGTTCTCGGTGCGGTGTCTTCAATTAAATTATTAGAAAATATGTCCGAAATTTTGAATTTAACCACGGGAGTGGTTAAAAGAGCATTTTCTTATTGTGAAATCTACATTGAAATATGTCAGACACCTTTTTTAACCACAAAATTGTTAAATCATCAATTTCATTTTTAAACTGAATAATGAAAACTGAAGAGAAGGTTAACAATTCCTGTGGCGCAAAAAAAAAAAAATGTTTTTTGAGTATAGGAAATTAATTTGACCTACCCTGAGAATTTTTTTTAAAAATTAAAATGAGGTAAAAAATGGCCGGAAGAAGGCGGCGTGGACGTCCAGTAAAAGATTGGCGGCAGGGAGTGGAGAAGGAGATTAGTAGGTGTCACTTGCCTGATGATTTGCGGAAGGATCGATTCCAATGGCGATTGGGATCGATATGCAAAAGATAAGTACGCCCCAAAAATTGATCGAGTTTAACCAAATTGCCCTCGAGCCTGAAGCAGGTTATCTTTAAAATGCTAAGACTGCTAAGAGACACTATTGTTCATCAGGTATTTTCATCGCCTCTCGTGATAAAAGTTAGCTATCGAGAGTTACATATTTTGATGGTGCTACTTATTTTGCTGCAAATATGGACTGCATTTTGCAATTTGGAACTATACATTCTGGCCCGGTTTAAAAACAACTTATGTGCCATTAGTTTCCCTATGCACATAAGTGTTTTTTCAGATAAGCCAGAATTTATAGTTCCAAATTGCAAAATGCAGTCCATATGGCCCTGAACTTGTTTCTCTTGATCTAATAGCACTTCGAAAGACGCCGAAATAAATTACTCACTTACCCCACAATACGGTGTAGACCTTAACTTGGCCTGCGAGGCAGTAATAAAAGCCCACAACAGCCAAAACGTGGACGAGTAGAGTGAAGAATCTTCTTCTCCTTACTATGGAGATCTGCCTTCTGGACATTTTCACTTCATCTTTCGGAGGGGGGGACCATGGGCTGAGTCGAACTCTTGGATCCATCGACAACTCATCTTTAAAAGAACATGGTGAAATGTTAAAATATTGATTTATAATCTGATTACTTACGCGCCATCGTCAGTGCTGTCGCGTGGTCTACGTACCTAAACCACCTTTTAGTTGTCTGTACTTCCATTAAAAATGCCTCAAGAGCAAAACCCCTTCGAAATTATGACACTTTTCGCGAGGGAAACACACTTTGAAAAAGATATATGTACATACTTCATTAATTTTTGACTTCACAATAGGGCCTTTCTGACACTGCACGTGCATTTTAAAAGTCTCCTTCGAGAATCCAGAAATTCCAGTTTATAGTTCCAGCAATTAATGTAGCGCCTTCAATTCAGGAAAACATCACAAGTCATGCAGTGAACACGCGTTACAACGGTTGGGAGTGGGACAGTGTATAAATTGTACTTTCTGTTGACAAGTGTTTGTTTGTACATTAACAACGTAACAGGAACCTTTGAGGAATAGTGATTCGTCAACTTAAGGTGTAAAATATGGTTTTTGAATATAATAGAGGGTTTAATGTCAGGTGTCAAATCAGATGATAGATTTTGACCATTTTCTTGCGTGGAGCGCTAAAGCCCGGCTGATCTTGATCCTCGCATTCTGATAGGTCAATTTTCTTAAAAACAAAAACAGGCCTCTAGATCCTCGTTGAGCTTCAACCCGATCTTGGAAGAAAAATTCACATTTATTCGCAATTCCATATCGATTAATCTAATTAACTGCACTTTTCGTGCGATTTTTGGCTCCCATAAATTTGCATCACAAGTGGACTGCATTTTGCAATTTGAAACTATAAATTCTGGCTCATCTGAATAAACATTTATGTGCGTAGGGAAATTAATGGCACATACGTTGTTTTTAAACCGGGCCGGAACTTCTAATTGCAAAATGTAGTCCAAATGAAGTTGTATCAATCAGCCGAGTGAATCTCAATTTTAGTGATAGTCGGACTGCATTTTGCAATTTGGAACTATAAATTCTGGCTCTTTTGGAAAAACACTTATGTGCGTAGGGAAACTAATGGCACATACGTTGTTTTTAAACCGGGCTAGAATTTATAGTTCCAAATTGCGAAATGTAGTCCAGTTGTAACCATGGTATAACTACACGTCAAGAACAATAAAGTCAAATACTTACGCCAAAAAATAATGTACGGCCGCAGAATGGAGTGTTTCAGAAGACCGAAGAGGGTGTAAAAACTACCTGTTGCCAAATTGACGAGCGATGAAAAATATACTTTTGAGAGTTCGTCGCCGCTTTTGTGCGACGATGGCCCAGGAGGCGGATACTGCTCATCTATCTCAAGATCAGGATCTGCATAGTTGATCGACGTTGGTAATACTGAAATATTTTCATTGGATTCTCTCTGATCTGACGATTTTGGAGCCATTTTACTGATTTTGTTATCTCTGCAACGAAATGAAACAACGAGATACATTGTAACCATTGCAAGAGATCAAAGATGAGATGGATTCAACTAAGAGGGAAATAAAAATTGAATGATATTTCCTATCATACATGAATAGTATAATGGAAATGTTTCCTGCGGACACTGGAAAAAAAAACACATTGGATCTAGAGTCCAGACTCTTAAAAACATCGACAAGAAAAAATACTCTTGATTCAATCCGATTTAAGCTTAAATCAAGAACCAAGCCTCCTGATTTGAGCGGATTTCCTTTTGATTGAAGCTTAAATCTGATTGAATCAAGAGTCCTTTTTCTTGTCAATTTCAAGAGTCTGGACTCTAGATCAAATGTGTTTTTTTTCCAGAGGACCTTAAAAACGCGGTTACTTTCATGCCCCCTCGTTAAAGTCTCATAAAACATAGAATATCAACATGCTCTCGCTTTCTTCATCATTCTGCTAAAAATAAATAGAATTCGTAGTATCAAGAAATTTATTAACTCGTGGGTAGGAAATTAGAGTTTGCGTTGTAGCTAAAACCAACAGGAATTTTAATTTCTTAAGGACAAAACGTTCAAGCTCCTGTATCCTATCTTTGCCGCTGCCTTGTAATGAATAATCCCCGAAAGAATAGAACTTACGTTGCGACACTCCACGGTTTTTTTCTTCCTCAAATTTGATTAAATGCAAATAATCATCCAGTAGTGCAAGGTGCCAGAATAGAGGCATGTGACATTTTTAAAGTGTGGAAAAAAAATCGCGGGACATTCAGCCAAAAATCAGTAAAATTACATATTTCAGCTGACATGAAAAGGACATGACTCTTACATGAAATTATTCTCTAAATTTTTCAAAATTTCTCGAGTATGTCTCCTTCTTTATAAAGTCATCAATTACATAGGTAGTCTAAGGAGTTAGTGAACGTTAAGAAATAAACATACAAAGAATAACAATCTCCCGACTTAAACACTGGAAAAAAAATCTCGGTGTATTTACTAAGAAAAGGGTAAAATTACCAATAATGTAGGGTTCTATTTGATCCCAGTTTTTTCTTGGTAAAATTACCATTTATGGAATTATTAATTGGAATATATTAATTACCGAGATATCTCGGTAAAATTATCGAACTTTCTCGGTAATTTTACTGGACCTTGGTAAAAACGCCAATATTTTTTATCGACTGTGGTAGAATTACCGAGATAAAATGGCAAAGTTACCGGGAATTGATTACCAATAAAATTGGTATTCTTACCTGAAAAAAACAGTAAAAATATCGGTTTTTAGGTAAGCTTACCAGTCCGTCTTAATAAAATTACCAATAATTGGTAAAAAAAAGTGAGATGGTAAAGGTACCAACGGACCGTAGTAAAAACGCCGAGAATTTTTTTCAGTGAATGTTAAAAATCTTGGCCTATACACAAACGGAATAGTGGCTGAGCAGGATTTAGGTTAAGATAGGTGAAAAAAATGAACGCAAAAGTACTTACATAGATGTAGTGGGGGCAAGGGGGGGAGGCGAGAAGAGAAAACTCTGTTAGTTTTAAAATTGATAGGTTCCACAGAAAAGAACTCCGCGTGAACACCACCAACTTAAATGAACAGTTAATAGTACATTAATACTTTTGAAGGAATATCGGAGAGGAACAGATTGGTACGCGAAGTTGACCCGCGTTCGTGGGGAATGATGGTGTGATAGGAAAAGTGGTTTGCTGAAAAATCTCGCAGCCAAATATGATAGGAGACGGGGGTGGAGGAAATTCATATGTCGAGGGGGGCGTCCCCCCTGAGAGTGCGTGTCCCCACCGCGATTGCGTATTTACGCATGATTAACTCTCTGGAGGCATCTCATTCATGAAAATTGTGAAGTCAGTTAGGTGGGGCCAGCGCTCCTCGTATATCGTAAGAAAAGAGGAGAGTCGTGAGGCAGAGTTGCCGTAATTCCTTTGTTTGCAATGGAGATGTTGCATGTGTGAGGAATTTGCGATTTGACTGTTGTTTTGTATGTAAAAGTTCGCAAGAAACACGATGGTGCCACTGGTTTTCTCTGAAATCAACTCCCAAGCTCAAAAAAAGCTCTCAAGTTGAGGCCAAAATGGAGGGGATATCCCACTCTACCCTGAGAGTCCACCTCTACATCAAGACAAACTCTCCATGCAAAGATAGGGAGCAAATACATTAGCAGGGTTGCCGTGTTTTCAGTTTTGGAGTCCCCAAATAAAGTGGCAGCCCTGTCAATGCATTTGCTCCCTATCTTTGCATGGAGAGTTTGTCTTGATGTAGAGGTGGACTCTCAGGGTAGGGTGGGATATCCCCTCCATTTTGGCCTCAACTTAAGAGCTTTTTTTTGAGCTTGGGAGTTGATTTCAGAGAAAACCAGTGGCACCATCGTGTTTCTTGCGAACTTTTACATAAGAATCAACAGTCAAATCGCAAATTCCTCACACATGCAACATCTCCATTCATTCATAACGTACTAGATCCAGGGTCCTTGGTGTATATATTGATGGCTAAAATCTACAAATACGTATCTTCGATTTTAACCTTACAACTTTACGCTTATGTATGACTTTATTGACGCTATTTTTAGCTTGCTTTAAAACATCATTCGTGCCATTGCCTCACGGATAAGTGCTTTCGTGGATGCGTTAAAAGTTGTAGTTCCTTTTCGCAAAATGCAGTGAGTAATTGCGAGCGGTTTCGTCTATTCTCGTGCCAAATATAGCAAATCAACTATTTCAAGCCCTGTACATGGCAAATTTAAATTCCAGTTGCTTTCAGCAGCATTTAAATTTCAGTGGTCTGAAAAAACGTTTTCAAAATTGCAAAATTTAATCCAACATAGCTCTGGTTAAGCTTCCTCCCCCCCCTTCCGTCCAAAATGTTTTTAAAATGTCCCTTTCTGCTCTGGTTTTTAACTTCGATATCGCCTTTTTATGGATGAAGTCTGTTTCCCTTCTGGGTGATCACATTTAATGGCTAAAGTCAGAAAATGCGTACTTGCATTGCAGCGTTTCAAAATCTCCGATTATGTTTTCCTTTCACTCCTCGAAAAGTACACTGAAAAAAAAGCTCCGACTGGGGAAGCCGTACTTACGGGTTATATAGACCGTCCGCGTATTCCGGGCGTAGCACCCGCAGATATTGAAGCTACGCCTCCAGTACCCGGGACTTTCGGCCTCTGAGCCCATAACGGACGGTACGTTTATGAAATCCGTAACTTTTTTTTCAGCGTGAACTAAAATCCATAGAATCGTATTTTCAGAAAAACTGTTGGTTGTTTGCTTTTCCCCCCTTTATTTAAAAATAATTAAAACAGGAACGAAGATGTATAAAACGGCGATACTTATTTTTTTTCTGAAACCGTAGCAATTAAAAATACTTCTTCTGTCGCATAAATTATCGTACATTTGTCACCTATTCGGTACAAGCACTCGCCGCTCTCAATCGAATAGCAGATTCCCCTAACTGGAACACGAGCCAAATATTCGACTCCAAAATCTTCCCAATCATCGGAGTTCCTCCAAGCTGTATTCAAACATTATGGGAATAGCGGCGTTTTCCTTATTTTTTCAAACGAACATGCTCGCATCCGAACCCAGAGATGATGACACGCACTGCCGAAATACTGACCCACCGGCACGAAAATCAGTCAGGATAATGGAATCAAAATAAGACTCCTGGACAATACTGTTTTTTTCTCGCTGCGTCTCCTGGGCGTAGAATTGGTTCCGCGTCAGCTACCTTCATCATCTACGAGAGCCCACACGCATCAGAATATGTTGCCTATCGATCGTCGATGTTTCTGTCCGATTGTTTGTGAAAGCAAAATTAGGCCATTTTTCGGGCCGATTGCCTGATTCACTGGCTATACGACAACGTCCGATTCATCGATGTTCAATTGGACTGCATTTTGCAATTTGGACCTATAAATTCTGGCTCATCTGAAAAAAAACACTTATGTGCATAGGGAAACGAATGGTACATACGTTGTTTTTAAACCGGGCCGGAATTTATAGGTCCAAATTGCAAAATGTAGTCCAATTATAAGATCCCCAACAACGCTTCGTTTGTATTTTGCAGCTCTTAAAAAGCTAGTGAACACTAAAACAGGCCTACTGTAGGATAGTCACGGTTGAGAAAATTGGAAAAAGTCAAGGTCGAGCGTGTCAGCAAAATCGAGAAGAGAAAAAAAGAGTGACAAAATCTTCAAAAGTTAGGTAAAACTGTGTTTACGGAATTAGCAAACGCTGAAAAACTGGTTTAAAAATACTTTTTTTTTTTTTTTTTTTTTTTTTTTTTTTTTTTTTTTACATCAGAACAATTTTTTTAATTCAAAGAAAAGCTTTCACGATAAAAAATTTTTGCACGCAAAAAGCAATTTTTTACTTTTGAATTGGTTTTTTTAAAATTCAAAGGATATTAAATTAACTTTTGATGACTAAGTTACGCTTTACTGAAAAAATCAATTTTCATTCATTTGAAGAAAATCTTTTTATCTAACAAAAGTTTGTTTTAATTTTTAAAAAAATGTTTTAATCATTTTTCTCAGTAAATTTGTTTAGTCTTACTTTTTTCCTAGCCGGGAATGAAAATCTTAAAATTATAATTTTCAATATTTCGCGGCCTTCAAAGTCAAGGCATATTTAAAAAAAAAAAAAAATTGGTCGGGGAAAATCTAAGACAGCTAGTGTATTCCAGTTCTAAATTTTCGTGACAACTCTGCTGTAGAAATAATTTAATTCCAGACGCACACTGTGTTCTTGTTTAAATCGGAACTAACAGATTTAACATCAAATGATTTGGCTATAATTTTAGTTAAAGGAGCTTTAAAAGAACTACACGTTAGAGATTCAATGAATTGTTCCCGTGTAAAATTCTGCAAGAAAAGCGATAATGACACTAATAGTGTCATAAATTAACTTCCGAGTTTATAGAAGCTCTTAAAGTTAAGACCGTAGCGAAATACCCGCGCATCGATGCGTTTATCTCCATGTTGTCAAATTCACTTTACTTGCAGAGGTACAGCTGAGAACTCGGAAGTATGAGTCCTAAAGCGTTAAGTTGATTAGTACATGCCCATAGTCATAGCAAACTTTACTAATTTCACATTGAGCCCATTTTTGAACACAGAATGTGACTTAAAATGGAGGCATATTATCTTATTAAAATATTTCAAGCATCGGATTAAACTTTTATAAGTTTGTGAATTGGTTTAAACCGGACAGATAACACCACTTTATACTTTTACCACTGCACACGGGAGAAACGAGAAACTTTTTGTGCAGGGAGCAAATATACATAGGGGCCTCAGAGAACGCAACCAGCCTTGGCAGATATGTATAGATATGTATACGCATATCGACGGTGTAAGTCCGCAAACACGTATCTCGGTTTCCGACGTTGTAGACCTCGTATCACACTTTATATTTTAAATGGAGAAGTACTCAACGGCTATGCTTAAAAACTGCCGTGATTTTTCTTCTCTGCATGAAGAATGGAGATGTTGCATGCGTGAGGAATTTGCGATTTGACTGTTGATTCTGATGTAAAAGTTCGCGAGAAACACGATGGTGCTACTGGTTTTCTCTGAAATCAACTCCCAAGCTCAAAAAAAGCTCTCAAGTTGAGGTCAAAATGGAGGGGATATCCCACCCTACCCTGAGAGTCCACCTCTACATCAAGATGGACTCTCCATGCAAAGATAAGGAGCTAATACATTGACAGGACTGCCACTTTATTCGGGAACTCTAAAACTGAAAACACGGCAAAACTGCTAATGTATTTGCTCCCTATCTTTGCATGGAGAGTTTGTCTTGCTGTAGAGGTGGACTCTCAGGATAGCGTGGGATATCCCCTCCATTTTGGCCTCAACTTGAGAGCTTTTTTTGAGCTTGGGAGTTGATTTCAGAGAAAACCAGTGGCACCATCGTGTTCCTCACGAACTTTTACATAAGAATCAACAGTCAAATCGCAAATTCCTCACGCATGCAACATTATGCCATTTTCTGCGAATACTTCAAGGAACGACGTTGATTTGTTCTCTTTTAAAAAAATAAAATGCGAGCGGAGATTTTCAAACACCGCAAACGAGATACGTAGGTGCGGGCTTACACCGTTGATACGTATCTATGTGTCCACGGGACATCATTCATATCATTCATATTCTGGTAATAACTTTTGAATGAATCCATCAACTGCCAATGAATGAATTAAACAAACTAATTACCTAAAGTATAGGGAGTAAATCTTGTTATTCTCTTCTGTACTTATAAACTATTTGTGTTTCATAAGATATCAGAATTATGATGATTGTTTAGACGATGAGTACTTACCTGCTAACAAAGCATGAAAGTTAATTTAGCTAGTTTATCCAAGCGATGGGTGTGTTGAAATTGAAATCGGTCCCGTAAGGATCAATTGGGGGCGCATCCGTTCCGTTCACTATTTTTCGTCTGAATTTTGACCTAAAAAATTTGTTATTCGAGCTTATCCTCCTCTGATTTTTTGGGTCTCCCGATTTTTGAGGGGTCACTCTTAGATTACCACCTGAAATTAAGCACAATTTTAGTATTCCCAGTTAATGCTGCATCGGACCAACATATTTATACCAACAGACAATGTAAACTGACCGTAAATGTCTAGGTAGTTCAGAAGCAAGTATTCACGTTAAAATAATAGTAACACTGTTTGGAGAACATTGTGGATGGCGTCATCCGCAGTAGTATAGTGCATACCAAGATTTCTCTCGAGATACAATTGGACTACATTTTGCAATTTTGACCTATAAATTCTGGCTCATCTGAAAAAACACTTACGTGCATAGGGAAACTTATTGCTCATACGTTGTTTTTAAACCGGGCCGGAATTTATAGTTCCTAATTTCAAAATGTAGTCCAATTGAGCTTCATCAGTAGGTGATGCCACTCCATCACAGGCCATTTCCACTGGCTATCCTGCATACGAGATACATTATCAGTGTAAAAATAGGGTGGTATGACCTTGGTATGAGGTAGGCTAAACGTGGTTATTGGACAGAATTTTTACTGTGTGCTATATCGGCTGGATACCCCCCCCCCCCCCCCANTCCAAAATTCTATGTCCAGTAAAATTAATCTATTCCACTCTTTTCATACAGGAAAAAGAGAGCTATTTGAACTTACCGAATTTAAGATCCTTTGTTCTTTTCAGCAAAAAGTCCAGCTCTTCCAAGTATATACGACCATTACTCTTGGCAGTTTTTTCGGTGGCTGAATCTTCTATCCCATGCTCGTAATAATCTGCACCTCTTATCTCTTGATATGCCTCTAGCCGCAGGGGGAATATCTTATTCACTACCTACATGATGCGAGTTAAATAGTTGAAGAACACTTTTAATAGAAAACATTGACATGTGTGTTAATACAGTAGTGAACTATAGTGTCGGATTAAATATACCAAATATCTCAATAAACACAACTCGTTGTTAATATTTTTAATAGTCTTGCGAATGGGTATATCTGTAACTCAAATCGTGATCAAGCTGCAAATTCACGTTCCAAAATTTTCTCTGTTATTTTACACTTTTAAAGAACAAGGGAAACAGTTTACAAACATGTTATGACATCGTTTTTAACGGAATTCAAACAACACGCAATAATTTAATACTTTACATAATTTCCTTTATGTAATCGGAACAAACTCGGTTTCGCAAAAACAACGGACAACTTCTCAAATTTTCCTATTCTCATTGATTTTCCTTTGTCGGTTTAAAATTAAGTTTTGATCCTTTGAGTTCCTATTTTTTTGTATACTTGGTTTCGCAGCTTTTCCCCTGGATTGAATCGCTGTCTCGTCACGTAGGAAAATTATTGTTGCTGCATTGGAGTGCTGTGTATGTTGCCTATCTACTAATTGAAGGGGCTCCTCTTAATTATAGTTTTTTGCAATATAATTGACTTATATTGCAATTTTTCTTTGCATTGCACGTTTCATCGTAAGAAATTGCAACTCTGTTGTAATATTTTTAATGCAAATTGCTATTCCAGTACTAGTCAACTGACTCGACAAATTATCACTATATCACGACAAATTATCATTATTATCGATCAGAATTTTATAACATCAACAGCGCACCAACCCGAGAAAATATTTTTTCAAGTGATAAGATACTAAAGTACAATCAGTCGATGACAAGTTATAGTTACCCATAATAAAGCAATTGTTGCGAAGAAGCTCCAGACTGCGATCGAAATGACAGTCAGGGATTGGACGAAGAATAACGTCCATCCTCCGCCTATAAAATTAAATAATATGTATTAGATTCTAAAAAATATCCTTTGAAAAGCTGTACCCGGAAGAAAAATTTCGATATTTCAAAAAAAAAAATTGAACGTTTGTCTCCTTTCATTACTTTAGAATTTCAGAGCCGCACGCTCTGTACTTAGGATTGACAAAACACGGGCGCCGCCGCACAGTGGATCGAGTCAATAGGAGAGGTCGGACAAAATTTGGAACTTTAAACGCTTATAACTCTCTTTATTCAAAACTTTAAGATTCTAAAAGTGGTTTCATTGGTTATCTCGTAAAATTTTCTACTACCAGTATCCCTCGAAAGTTAAAATGTGACGAAATAAGCATCAAAATTTGCAGTTTTAATAAAAAAATTCATGTCCTACCTTATTAAAAGACTCGATTCACTGTGCGCCGCATGATTCAAAAAGTTTCCGAGTTCGCCCTCGTTGATCACACTGTAATTTGGGATGCCAGATTTTGAATTTTACTGGGGGCGACAGTCTGCTGCATTTTCAATTGGAAAATTTTAATGCAGGGTGACAAAGTAAGTTGTTTTCAATGTTTCCTTTGAAAAACTTAGTCTTTTCCGTTGGGTTTTTATGTTGAGTATTCTTTTAACTTTTGTTAACATGTTATTTTACATTGGTTCTACCTCTCCTGCGTCTTTTGAGCTTCAGTTTAGAATTTTGTACCTCGAAATAACCCGCTCCTTCCATAGGTAGTTGCTAGAGGGAGTGGATTTTCAGCGAACAGTCCAACCGCCAATGTGCCCCACATACCGCATACTCCTGAAAATTGTGATTAATTGGAAAAATCATTGAAAAAAAGTATTTAAGAAATCCATTTAGCTCCATAATATTTTTGAAATAATTTTTAAATGTTTCAGAATAACAAATCAGTTTGATGACTGGTTCGACAGAGCATCAGATCAGTTCAATTGTTGTTGCAGGATTTAATGGTAAAAAACTAATTAACTGATCTACATTAAAAGAAGATGGAGTCAGGGCCGGGTTCACCTACTTGCCGCCCATGGGCCGCCTATATTTTGCCGCCCCCTTCTCATTGGTTTTGAAACTCGATAAAAACCATCAAATGAACGTGCCAGCGGGGGAGGGATGCATAAGACGCATTTAATCGTGTTGAACACTTTTTTTGGGAAAGCCCTGTTAACACTACTAGTAAAAGTTCACGAAACTTTGCGCGAAAGTTAAGTTCCGTAAACCTATCTCTGTGTGGACAAGGTCTTCCATTCATAAGAAATGAACGAAAAAATGATGATAGAACAAAAATAAATGTGGTTCAATGATTTTAACTTCCGCCGCCGCGCCGCGCAGACCGCATCGTGTTGGACGCAGTGCGTGAAGCATTCACGCAGTCTTGCAGGCGCTATGCGTTTCACGCTGACCTCACTGTGTTTGGCGCAATGCGTGAAGTATTTGTGCATTCTTGTGGGCGCTATCTGTTTCACGCTGACCGCAATGACCGCACTGTGTTTGATCCAATGCGTGAAGTATTCGTGCAGTCCTGTAGGCGCTAATATGTGTTACATGCCGATCGCCGCGCCGAGGGCTTCTCCTTCATCTCAAGTCCTCGTTATCATTTAACACTAACAAGGGGAGCTTCCCAAGTGTAACCGGAATTTACAGTTGAAATTTCGCATGAAGATACTAGAGATGATTTTAGGGATGCCGTATTTTTTCGTTTTTTCGAATGGGGTCGGGAAAGCCCTCAAAAAAAGGGCTAAAGATGCGGAAAAACCGCGTACGCTAGCGGCACAAGGTAAAGATAGGTGATAGAGGCTCACCGTCCTTATCAGTACCGCATGGTCAAACGGTAGCGCGCTCGCCTCGCAGGCGGGAGGTCCTTGGATCGGATCCTGGTTACTGCCCGTAATTTTATTTTACTTTATGCTTGTTTAGTTTTCACTTACTTTATTTTGCACCATTCTCTCCGCAAACCGACTTACGAGGTAGAACACGTCGTGACTGAAGATTTTTTACATATGCTGATAAAAACTCGAAGTTTCTCTTGGATTGAAACGTTATATATAATTGAATAAACAAATAAACACTCCAAAACTCACCAAATTTCGTTACCAAGCTGAATCCCGAAGTATCAGTCAGATACGGATTTGTTTATTCAATTATATATAACGTTTCAATCCAAGAGAAACTTCGAGTTTTTATCAGCATATGTAAAAAATCTTCAGTCACGACGTGTTCTACCTCGTAAGTCGGTTTGCGGAGAGAATGGTGCAAAATAAAGTAAGTGAAAACTAAACAAGCATAAAGTAAAATAAAATTACGGGTAGTAACCAGGATCCGATCCTAGGATCTCCCGCCTGCGAGGCGAGCGCGCTACCGTTTGACCATGCGGTACTGACAAGGACGGTGAGCCTCTATCACCTATCTTTACCTTGTGCCGCTAGCGTACGCGGTTTTTCCGCATCTTTAGCCCTTTTTTTGAGGGCTTTCCCGACCCCATTCGAAAAACCGAAAAAATACGGCATCCCTAAAATCATCTCTGGTATCTTCATGCGAAATTTCAACTGTAAATTCCGGTTACACTTGGGAAGCTCCCCTTGTAAGTCGCGCCGTTCTACGCCAAATTGCGTGTTTGGTTTCTCTCGTAACTCGACTTATTGAGGGTGCTGTCTCTTGTAGCACTAAGAGACGACAAAATTAGAAATTACTATACTCTCAGGAAATGAGAGATTTTGTCGCCTTTTCTCGTTTGTAATTTTGTTTTTATAAGTCCGATTTTTTTTATACCCACACTTTAAAAAATTGCAAATTTTTGCCGCCCCTTAAATTTCCCGCCATGGGCCGTGCGTGGCCCATGTGTTCACCCCCTTAATCCGGCTCTGGATGGAGTTTTTGGTCACATTTATTTTGGCAAATCTCAAATTGACCCCGCTTTAATAAAATTTAGCTTCAAACAAACGCGACTTATCCGGCATCGGTCTATTCATTATGAAAATTAATTTCTGAAATAAGATGCGTTCGTTCAATTTATTGTACGTGCTAGATTTCACTTTAGTGCAATACAGTTGGACGTGCTCATGCTTTAAGATACTCTATATACGTGCATTAAATCCCGAGGAAAGAAGTATCTGCGTGCTTCACAGGATCTTTTGATTCAATTTATCTGTACGTAGTTTCTTTTATCATACATACGTCTAATTTTATGCTTGACATTTTAAACTGTTATCAAACATTTTTGAAGGACACTTTTCAAAACTTTTAAACTTACAATGCAAGACCATTTGTATCTATACCAGCTGCTAGCTTTGGAACAATCGGAAACAATGTATTGCAAATAAAGAGGTATTCATTGTTGAAAAAATGTGCTGAATTACAGTTTTAAAACACTGTGCGGTGAAAGTCTGTGCATTTAAATCATCGCTTCCTTTACATCATTGTTTTTTTTCCAAAATCCACTGTATGAACCAAAAACTCACCATGAACTGACGAAGCCCCAACTGGATCATCTATGTTTAATCGGTCGAAGAAAGGCACACTGTAGGCAACAAGAAGTCCTCCAATAGCACCAACAAGTAATGCTTCCCACGATTGGTACAAGAAACACCCAGCTTGTGAGAGAAAAATAAATGCAACCATTTTTTCAAACCAAGCACAGGAATTTCAATTCATTGATCGAACAAGCTAGACCCTCTACCGCATCCTCTTACTTTGTAAATACACGTAATTAAATGGACGTATTTCTATCAAACGGAACTATGTGCATTGTGGCATGAGCCCCGTTACGCATATATTCTTATGGGTCTCAGGGCTCATGTTTTAATGCACATAGTTTGGATTGGCAGAAATACGTCCAAGTATTGGCGGTGTAAGCCCGCAACCACGTAGCTCGGTTTGCGACGTTGCACACTTCCTGTCATACTTTATTTTTTAGACAGAACACTACTCAACGAAATATCTTAAAAACTGCCGTAATTTTCCTTCTCTGTGTAAAAAATTTTTTGCGAAATATTCAAGGAATGATGTCATTTGTTTCTCCTTTAAAAAATACATTTTAAGGGAAGACTGTCGAAGACCGCAAACGAGATGTACGTAGTTGCAGACTTACACCATCCGTATGTAATAATTTCGGCTAATTGAACTTAGTATCCGCAGAAATTGTGAGAGTTCGCGAAAACATAGAGTATGAAATCGGCATCATTGGTATGCTCTCATTGTATTGAAATTGAATACAGAAACTTAGTTCGGATCGATAAGAAATTCGGCGAAAGATAATACTTTTCTTTTTAAGTTGGTAGGAAACTGATTCTGTCTGTAAGTTAACGCCCGTTTGAACGAATCTATTCTTGAACAGATGCACAATGCAGCACAACAAAATGATAGAAAAAGTGTGAAAAAGTTTACGGGTCTCAAACTTCCGATCAACAGTCGCGAATAGTGATCGCTCCATTTTGATCCCGTATTTCGCGCTGAAAGCGCCAGATACACCTGCTTCTAGACGCGAATAGTAGGATCTGATCCTACTTTGAGCGAGTTACACTGCCGTGCTAAGGAAAAACGCCGTATGAACATTCGAGGGTTGTCAAATTTCCTTCGATAAAATGTTTATTTCTGGAGAAAGTTATGAACATTTTTCCTAGAAATTTTCAGGGACTCTCGGTGAAATTACAAACAAAATAATCTGAAAAATCGGAAGGAAAATATTCATGAGTTTACCAGGAAATTCGTGTTGTATCAAAGCAGAGTTGGCAACGCTTGAAGGTTCATACGGCGTTTTTCCTTAGCACGGCACTACAGGCGGCAAGCTGCAACCTGATTGGCTACGGACATTGCCGAACTCGGCCAAAGGCATATTGGCATCTTAAGACGCGCGTCTAGCTCGCTGGTTTATCCAGCACCTAAAAAGTTTCAATGATGAACGGTGAGAATATTCACCGGTGACTGCGACCAATGCTCCAAGGACGGAGTTGACGACGTCCATCATGGAACAGCGCCCGTTTTGAGTGTGGAAGGAGTAGAGAAGGCCGACCGTCCCTCCACCGAAAGAAGAGATCATCGTCATCGCAGCTGCTTTTGCCGCGTAGTCTATCTTCCCATTTGTCACTCCGTAAGTACTGAAAACAGCGAAAGAAGGGGTATCGACAAGCGCCGTTTTTGCGCTCAGACCGGATGAATTTCCTCAACTCTATGCTATTCTGTTCATTAAAGGTCTATGTAATAACATTGCACGATTGAATGATTGAAATGAATGAATTGAATGATTTGATCATTTGCGGTCTCCTTTTGGGTCTAATTACCGGTTTGAACATGGTCATAAGTCTGAAGTCCGATGGGAAAAGGTATGCGAATTTTTTGGCTTTCGACTGCAAACCCGCTAAACTCACATTTTTCGCCGAAATCGGCTTTCAGACCCATGTTCAGGCCAGTATTAGGCCCAAAAAGAGATTGAAAATGACCAATTTAAGTCATGATTGAAATTGGAGAGCTGAGGAAATCCAGCTAGGGTGGATTCCAAAACTGCCTATATGGATTTGGAGAATTCCTCTTTTTGAGAATTTTGATATTCAAATGAAATTCTTGACATTTGGCAAACAAGTGAATTTTACCCTGATCTAAAAATTGGTGGAACTTTCAGACATAAGTCACTGTTTTGTCAGTAAACATGAGTCACAGTTTTATCTAAGTTAGTATAGTTAAATAGGTTGTGCGGATGCTAAAAATTGTGAAGGGGCTAAAGTCCCTTTAATTAGTCGGTTATGCAAAGCGCGTACTTCGAAGTTTGAATAGTGGTATCATTCAGTACCTCGTTCATACAATAATTTTTTACTTCTATAATCAAATCTCGATCAGCGTGAGTGATCGAAGAGGCGTCGTTAAAAAGAAAAATTGATAAGAGCGAATCAATGACCCAGGGCTAGTGTTTCATCTAACTCTTTTTCTTATACATTAGCAAATTTTAAAAGGTAAAGATTAATTTTGAATGTGTCATCTTGAGCGGTCTTTACCTCATCTAAACCAACTTTCAAAAATTATTAGTGCGTGCACCAAAGGACCCAGAACATTTTTTCCCGTGATTATTATTGTTCACTCGTTCCCTCGTCGGTTAGTTCACTCGTTCCCTTCCCTTTCATATCAGTTCTCGAAAGATTATGTCTCGAAAGTACATCCTTCCTCTTTGAGTCGTACTGCTTACTTTTCTAGCCTTGCGTTAAAGTCTCCACGGCTATTTGTGAAATATGTACGCTTATTATGAGCTGTGGCTTGACGCGTGTTGCAATATAGTGATTGATCTGCCATTTAAAATTACGGGAAAGGATCGATAAACAGAATGTTTGCAACAAACGTCTTAATAATCGACTCTTCACTACAGATTCAAATGGGGAGATATCAATAATCGATCGTTCATGCCTCGCCAAACTTATTGTAAGTTGGTACGGAGAAGTTTCATCGCATATAACAAGTCCAATGTTTTTTTTCGTATATATAATTTCAAAAATTCCCAAAGCATTTTGTTAATTTTTTTTTCTTTTTAAGAGCATAATACATTGAATTGAATTTTCCTTTAAGGGTCCGATGAACTTACCTGCCGGAGTTGAATGCAAGCCATCCCCACCAGAGAACGAACAATCCTTGAGCGCAGCTGCTCGGTTTACCCAACGGCAGAGGCTCAATTCCGAGCTCGTATCTTCCGATTCGAGGGCCCAACATTATGACAGCGGCCAACGCTATAACGAAAAAATTCATACCAGGGCCCTACCACGTTATCGAAGAAAGCGATCGAGTTTCCTCTGAGATTTGACTGACCATTGAATGACAGATCTCTGCACGAGAAACTTAAAGCTCCTTCATTTTGTCGAATATGCAATTTATTACGCGCACTGCTCATGGAATCTCGTTAAGATCCTTAACACTCATAGGCCAGTAGAAAATAATGCGATTTGTCTGAGCACCGAGTTTTTATGCCCAACAATACTAGAGCCACCATCCTTTTTAAAACATGGCGACTAGCGTCATCCGCCTAGTTTGTACATGACCAGTAAATAAACACTATTTAATATTTATAAATTTGTCAAGATTCTGAGGGTGTTCTTGATGGAAATATTATTACGAAATTATTTTAAGAAGACTCATTTCCAAACATTTTCATGAAGATTGGTTGCACTGAGGCATCAATAGTTATAAGTCATCATCAGGCAAATCTGAGAGTTCACTTCCAAAAATAACTTAGACACGATAGAGAATACAGCAATGCAGGATATCTAGAATATATTGTCTCTGCTGTGTGATTGATGGACAGATGTTTACATTAGAGATTACCAGTAACGCCGCCAGTCAAATGAACCACAGAGGAACCGGCGATGTCTACAGCACCCATTTTGCCTAAAAATCCGTGCTCACCCCAGACCCATCCAGCCGGCAAACAGTACACGATGTTGTTGATCAAAGAAAAAAGACAATAAGCCTTGAAGGCACACCTGAAATGTAAGCCAAAAAGTATATTATCACTTCTATAAGGAAAAAAATTTACTATATCGATCGCTAGGATTTGGAGGCGCATTTTTTTAAGGCAATATTTGTAAAAACTCCTCGTACTCCCTCCTTGTCCCTGTATACCGCCACACCTCAAAATTTGTTTGAAAACTTCTCTACGAATTACAATATCTTAATTTTCTTACGCATATTACATTGCCCGCTGACTGATAAAACCTGATAATGTTTTTTCCTGCAAGAGGCAGCGGAGGCGCCTTCAATTTTTTGTGCATGCAACATGGACATCTTTTGATTACTAATAGTTGCATCCTAGCGTTGTCATCAACGTCGCCACTCCTCCGATAGTTTAATTGAATGTGTATTTTTCTATCGTGCGTTCTTATTTACAGGAGATGCAAGTATGGCCTCTCTTAAATATGAGCAGCTAATATCGCAATTTTAAATCATACTCGAACAGACATGACACACCTGCACGCATGAAGTACGCTCTAGAAAGCTGCATAAGTGCATAAGAAACTATGTAAACACGGGCATGATTGGGAAAATGGAAAAGCAAGATTTTACATTTTACCAAACGGAAGAAAGCGCCAACTGCATGCGGCGCTCGTGAGCCGTGGGCATGGCAAAAGAGCATTGTGGACAGGGCTCATGAGCTAAAGATCCCCGTTGCCTCGTCGCCACTGACGTCACTAGCGCTTTCTAATTCCCATTCATTTTTACGGCCCTCAACTAACGAGCACACCCCTTCTTCCCCACACTGGAAAAAAAAAACACATTGGTTCTCACACCCCTTCTTCCCCACACTGGACAAAAAAACACATTGGATCTAAAGTCCAGGCTCTTAAAAACATGGACAAGAAAAAGTACTCTTGATTCAATCAGATTTAAGCTTAAATCAAGAACCAAGCCTCTTAATTTGAGCGGATTTCCTTTTGATTTAAGCTTACATGATAAAGAACCCGATTGATCGATCGATTTGATCAAACTTAAATCTGCTTGAATCAAGAGGCCTTTTTCTTGTCGATGTTTTCAAAAGTCTGGGCTCTAGATCCAATTTATTTTTTTCTTCCAGTGCACCTGTCTCTGGCTCAGTTTAGCAGGAATACGTCCGAATGGACTGCATCCACACTGTGAGAAAAAGAGGCGACATACCTCTCGGCAACAGCTCCAGACACGATGGTTGTGGCGGTGGTGGCGAAGGAGAGCTGGAAGACGAAGAAGGTGTAGATGGCCCCCTTTTGGGGATCGGCGTTGTCGATGTTGAGTGCGAAGTCTCCGAGGGCCACGAACGGGGTGTTGAGCTCGCTCCTGCCGAAGCTCAGCGCGTAACCGAAGAGCCAGTAAGTGATGCCGCCCAGGAACATGTCCGCCAAGTTCTTCATCATTATGTTCACTTCGTTCTTCGGCGCGACGCAGCCCAGCTCCAGCAAACCGAACCCTGCAATCGTGACTTCTTTGCATGTCCTTCAAATGTACTGCATTTTGAAATTAGGAACTACAATTTCTGACGCAGATAAGGAACAACGTACACTGGAAAAAAAACACATTGGATCTAGAGTCCAGACTCTTAAAAACACCGACAAGAAAAGATACTGTTGATTCGATCAGATTAAAGCTTAAATCAAGAACCAAGCCTCTTAATTTGAGCGGATTTCCGCTTGATTTAAGCCTAAACCTGATTGAACCAAGAGTCCTTTTTCTTGTCAATGTTTTCAAGAGTCTGGACTCTAGATCAAATGTGTTTTTTTTCCCAATGTATGTACAATTAGTTTCCCTGTGTACATAAGTAGGTATTGAGCAGTGATGTATGTACGAGCAGTAGAATGATTGAAGATGTTATGATGTTTTAATAGATTCGAAGAGACCTTTATTTTTAGTGATTTTTAGATTTTTAATATTTATATAGTTTATTGTGCTCGACTCTGGAGGGCTTGACAAACAGGGTTAAGCCCTAGTCGTTGGTGGAAGAAGAGAAGACGAATGTACATAAGTGTTTTCCGGATGAGCCAGATATTGTAGTTTCTAATTGCAAAATGTAGCCTAAATAAACGAAGTGTTCAAGCCATGAAGGCGATAAGTGGCATTAGTGTAATTTTCCACGAAGCAGAGGCTCCTAAGCGGAAGGGTCGTCTAGAAAGAGCTAGTGTCACACGATCAAATCGAGTCATCAAACCTTCAAGGTCGGACATTTTTCAAATAACAGCGACTTGCAGGTATTTGATAGGATGGGTGAGCTCTGATTGGCAAACTTATCCAAAAGATCCGATGAATCGATTTGATCACGTGGCCTTGGCTAAGGACGGTAGGTACTTCAGGGAAGTAGGATCCTATGACTGCCTGACAAATATCTTCAAAAACGGCTTGAGAGAGAGGATCTGACATGAAGTCAATTTTTCGGAATAAGTGACTGATGTCATTTAAACCACATTTTGCGATGAGGAATTACCATTTCCAGCTCACTTGTGAAAGCACCTATTTGTATTCGATAAATCTTAGCAAATGTGCTGTCTCTAAACTGAGACCGAAATAGAAGTTCCCAATGGACCACTAGACAAGGTACGAATTTAAGCGATCTGATACGTGTTTCTTAACCAGAATGTCACGTAGAAAACGATTCACACAACGAAAATTACTGAAACCAACTCCTAACGAAGATATTAACGTTTTTATTTTACATTGGTTACGAGGAATTTGAACTGCCCGCTCACAAGAAACTCAAAGCTCTACCTGAGTCGAATCGCCCACTACAACGGTTTCAGCAAGCTTCTCAATCGAGCAATGTTCATTTCCCACCATGTGTTGTTCAAACTATTAGCAATTTGCTATAAATGAGCCAAAGCGTCAAGATTGAGGTTGCCAGATTTTTATATCGCAGAGACTGTCATGATTATGTTTAGCGCGCGATGTGAATCACGTAGAGCATTGAGTTTTCATGAGCGGGTAGTTTGAATTCACGCATCAAGAATCATTAAATATCTTCGTAAGGAGTTAATTTCGGTAATTTTCGTTGTGTGCATCGTGTTTTACGTAAAATTTTGGTTAAGAAACATGAATCAGAATGCTGAAATCCGTACCTTATCTAGTGGTCCATTGCAAAATTTAGTCCCCTCATGCACGGCTGCAAGAATAAATTAAGAAATAATGTCTTCTATTATATTGATGTAAAAAAATCCATGCATCAATCCATTCATCGGGTTGTTTGAATGTATTTTGACGTTCCGGCCCAGATATGGTCTAGACTAGTCCTTATAGGTTTACATTATAGGCAGATATCGTCCAAACCTTCATCCAAAAATAAAAATTCAATTAAGTTATAATTGTTTTCATTTACTATATTTTTTAAACTGGATCCTTCGATGATTTTACCGTGAAGTATTTCAACCATATCTCGTAGGCAAAGAATCATTGCGGATAGACTAACCTGTTTGCATCGTGAAGATTATGAATGCGGACGTCAAAATCCATGCAGCATCTTCGGAGGAAAAATCGTAGATTCCACCAGACTCTGACGTAGATGATTCGTTCATTTGGGGATTTATATTGTAACTTCATTTAAAAATTCAAACAGAGCTCCTCTTTTCCAGACGTCCAAAGCAGCCGCACTTCTGCCGCAGGATCACTCTAACCTTAAGGGATAACTTTTTATCTGAACTTAGTTCTCTCACCGTGAAGCCGGCACCCAACCTTACATTTAAAACTCCAACAGGTCCTTGACATTCGTTTGGAATGGATACTTTTCCCGACTGAAACCCTCAAGCTTTTAAGTCCCCTCAATCTTAATTCACCAGTTTCGCAATGCGCTATTTACCTTGCCCTCTTTTCATCAGATCAAAGTAAGCTATTTAGCATTATTTATTCAATTGTATTTTGCTAATTTATTTCCTCTTTAATTTAGTTGACTAGCAAGTTCCTTTACTTTTGAGCTATCAGCCTCATGGAGACACGAACACACCCCAGAGTTGTCCGTAGTTGCTTTAAATTTCGCCATCTTGCGAGGGTTGAAGTAGAAATAATCATACATTTTGCAGCGGTCTTGCAACTGTGCATCCACCTTTTTCAATTCACAATCGGAGTTTTTTTTTTTTTTTTTTTTTTTTTTTTTTTTTTTTTTTTTTTTTTNTTTTTTTTTTTTTTTTTTTTTTTTTTTTTTTTTTTGCAATTAGGAACTACTATTTTTGGCTCAACCATAAAAGCTTTCATCTGTAAAGGAAAACTAATTGCACAAGTTGTTTCTAGGTATAAACAGCCAGAATTAGTAGTTCCTTATAGCGAAGAGTAGTCCCATAGGATGAAGCTGTATTTGAGGTTTAATCAATTTAATGCTCAAAGATACGATATTTAATCCTGTAAAATAAACTACATTTTTTGCCGTAACGAACCTGAAGCGTTTTTTTCTCCCTTTTTTGAAAATATTACTTCGTTTTAAAAACATTTACATTTTTAAAAAGTGGTAAATATTTGTAAAACCTTTCCCAAGCGAGGTAACACAATAAAAGCACAAAATATGAAAGAAAAAATTAAAATGCTTTGGAAATCATTAAATTTGCCCCGGAATTACCTGAATATTCAAGAAAACAAACGGTATATATTCCTTTAACACAAAAATGTTTCATTAATTTAATTGAGAATAATCCACGAAGATTGTGCAAACATTTCAAAATCATGAGTCGAAAAACGCTGACTCTGTGAGTTTAAATATTAGAGCCGAACACAGAGCGACGCGGCGTGCTGCCAGCGGAAAACGTGCACCGACGCCTACAAACCTAACTGGATACTTCACGCATTGCGCAATGCTGGAAGTATCCCTCTAGGTTTGTAGGCACTAATGCGCGCTCCGCGCTGGCTGTCCGCCGCGCCGCGCCGCGGCGTGCCACGCTACTGCGCCTCAAGAAACTATTTCGCAAGAGAGGTGTTGTACAGTATCTTACCAAATTGAAGGCGCTTTAACTTATTAAGAACAGGCATCCTTTAAGAGCGCGGAACTTTCCTCGCAAAATAAATCAAGATACTACGACACAAAAAGGGCTAGCGGTAGTCCAAAAACTCACCAAGTTCTGGCATTCGTACCTACTAACGTTTAGCATAATTTTTGAATTTCATTAGAGAAAAAAGTGACTAAATTTAAACATACCTAAGTATGCCGTCCAAGAGATTTTATTTTGAATCAAGAATAAAATCGCTGAATGAAAGCGGGTTTCTACTTAATGTAAGTGACTTTTCTTTTCATATAAGCATCTTTTTCCTCTGTATTCAGCATTTTATCTTAATTGACTCCTAAGAAAAGCTTCTCGGCGGTAAATTTGAGCATATTTCTGCTGGAATCAATTCATTTTTTCCTGTAATAAAGTTCAAAAATCGTGCTAAACGTTAATGAATATGCGGATACTAGTATTTCGTAAGTTTTTCGACAACTGCTTTCTTTTTATCGTCGTCGCTCTATTTAGTTTGCGAGGGAACTCCGTCCTTTTGAAAGATGCCATCAATCTTGATACGTTGAGGTGCCTTCAATCTCGTATGATACTGTGCACCACCTACGTGGCGAAATAATGGCTCGAAGCGCCGCGAGACGCCAGCGCCGTGCGCCGTCGCGAATTTATCGCACACAGGAAAAATCGAAGAGCCTTTAGCTGAGGCGAATCGAAAGGTTTATCAAGTTCAGGTATAACAAGATGGGGTTTTCTTGAAAGATAATTAAGTCTTGTTGCACCAAATAGGTGTAGAGAGTTTTAGTGAATCTTCCCTTTTAGAATTCACGCTCCCCCATTTTTACTGAAAATTACAATTCTATATTTATCTCCGTTGGACCAAAAAAAAAAAAAAAAAAACCTCTCATTCTTCCAAGACATTTTACATTTTCATCCAAAAATTTCGTGAGCAAAAATATGAAAGATTATGACATGATTTCCCCCCCCTCTCTCTCTCTCTCTCCGCCGTCACAAGCCGTGCCAATCGCGCTCATTAACGCACGTGGTGGGGAAGTTATGCGCTTTTGCCCTAAGTTTTTCAAATTTAAGAAAACTTGTTTTAATGTAAGTAGTCTTAGAATGCAAAGCACACACTCAATTCTCTACTAAACATTCGAGGTGAGTCAGGTAGCCTCAAGCCATAGGTCCGCTTGAGGAAGTGACAGGTATATGCATGCATGTTCAATGTTAGCAAGTAACGAATGATACGAGAGTGCGGACAAGAGATGTCATCGATGTTGCATACGCTTGTATTGGAAGGCGACTCGTCTAGCGGGAAAAGGACATTTGCCTTTTTTATTAGAAGTTTTATGATAATCATTTACGAAGGTAACCTGCTACGTATACTTTACAACGGGTCACCTCATTTGTCATGCCGTTTAAAAGTATAATAATTAATAAAGACATGGTGACTGGTCTAGCTATAGGAACAACATATCGACGGTGAAACTACCAAACCACGTATCTCGGTTTGCGACGTCGCAGACTTCCTGTCATACTTAATTTTTTAAATGAAAAACTACTTAACATCCAGTCTTGAAAATTTCTGTGATTTTTCCTCTTTGTGCGGAGAAAATTCCGTGAAAATTTCAAGGAATGATATTGATTTGGTCTACTTCAAAAAAATAAAATGTGAGCGTAGATTTTTAAACACCGCAAACGAGATACGTGGTTTGGTAGTTTCACCGTCGATATGCGTCTACGGCATTAATTTAAGCACACAGTTCAATAGGATTCTTCGCTATAAACAATAAATCGAGCAAAATCTTCAAATACAAATAACAGGCTCAAAACTTTAATTCAAAATTCACTTTTCGCGAGGTAAAAGTGTTGGTTCCTAATTTGCAAAACACATAACTCGGTTTTTCCTCCGTATTTCCCAACTGGTAGGGCTTCGTTCAAAAACGCTCAAGGCGTGATGAAAAGCATCTCATCATTTCTATCTCCAAGAATCATAACCTTTTAATCTTCAAAAATAAGGTCCGGAAACGATTTTTTTCTCTCCTGAAAAATTGTGTTTTCCGAGATATGTGGTATGTTAGTTTCACCATCAATATGCGGAATCAAAATCGGGTACGGGCAATCGTTGAAAAATCCGCTGAATAACCTCTTTTTACATACATATCAAGCCGCTAACTCAGCGCACTAGAGCGCTCTGCTCCTATACTACCCCTAATAATACCCTACCTATAATAACCTCTTTTTTCATACGTTATTTTGACTGGAATGAAAAGCACACTGTACTGAGCTATGCGCCGCGCGCCATACATAAAATTCTAGCTCTAAAACGCCTTCATTATAGCGTGCAAGCAATTCTAACTACAGCGAACGTCCATTCACCTCACCAAGTGCTTTGCTTACGTAAGGAACATTGCTGTCCGTTTTGTGTGGAATTCTCTTGTGATATTTTGTTGTTTTTTTTTTTTCATGGATTTATTTAATTACTACCAAGAATACACGAAGAAAGAGGGCAGAAAAAAACACATAAGTATACAAAAGTGAAATATGATCACCTTTCAAAAAAAGAGACCTTAATTCAAGGAGAGAAAATTTTCAGAGAAGCAATTTTTGGCCATATGGGTCAGAATTAGGTTATATGAATCCGACGGGAAGCTTCCTTATTAGTCTTAAAGAATAAGTTGCGAGAGATTTTGTTCTTTTTTGTTTTAAATTGTAAGAAAATTATTGAAATTTTCATAACGCTCGGCAGTTTTCTAAAAAAAAGAATACAATTTGCTAGCGAAAATTTTGCAACAATGAAATGGACTGCATTTTGCAATTTGGAACTATGAATTCTGGCTCATCTGGAAAAACACTTATGTGCATAGGGAAACTAATGGCACATACGTTGTTTTTAATTCATTTATAGTTCCAAATTGCAAAATGCAGTCCAAATGTAGTAACGTTCATCTGGAAAACGGTAATTTGTGTCTAATTAGAGGAATTATTGGTTTTCAATCAGAAATGTCTGTCAGTTCGATTGTAAAAATACAAAGTGAACATTCTGCAACGTTGAAATATTGTTCGTCATCTTTTGGCTAAAGTATCACAAGCGCCATGCGACGCTTAAAAATTTCCGCCGCCGTTCCATTTTTTTACAGAGAAATTGTTCAGTGAAACTGTCCGAAAATTTCACTGAATTTTTTTTGCGCTGCCGATAAAATCCAGTGAAATTTTCAAGCAGATTCAGCCAACAGTTTATCTGTAAAAAAATAAAATGGCGGCGGAAATTTTGAAACGTTGCATGGCGCTTGTGATACTTTGGCCGGAAGGCGACGAACAATATTTCAACGTTGCAGAATGTTCACTGTGTATTTTTGCAAGAGAGCTGTTAGGCATTTCTGATTGAAAACTAATAATTCCTCTAACTACACACCAATTGGACCGAGTTTAACAGAAAGGAACCAAGCCACATCAGCTGTTGCCAAAATTAACTGGGCAATTCAATTTTTTATGAAAGAACGTTTGTGCGGATTTCTGTGAAAATGACAGGGAATTTGCTTTGTACTATGGAGAAAATTCACTGAAATTTGCACGAAAATCCGCACTACCGTTTTCGTGTAAATAATTGAATTGTTCAATTAAATTTGGCAATAGCTGATGTGGCTTGGTTCCTTTCTGTTTAACTCGGTCCAATTGA